GGAGTAGCACTTGCAGACCTTGGGTTTTGAAATCCTAACCAAGGTGATCCAAGTTGCTTCCTCCTTTACCGGTCAGGCCTTTTCAGTGATACAGCCACTTCTCACCAGGGCTCAGACAACAGCTGTGAACCATCGCAGCAATACTCATGCCCTTATTCCTGTCACTGCATGGGAGCGCAGGAGAGGAGGGCAGGGGTGACAATGCAGGGATGAGGACACATGACAAAGAGAGAGAGAGCACATCACTGCCTTTTGGAGGGTTTCACCAGAATCAGGGAGTCTGTATAAAGTTCTTTTTAACTTTTTTGAACAGGGATAGAGATTAGGCAGCATACATAATCTGTAACTGTGTAGCCGGGATGTGTAAATGTAAAATGCAGTCACCTGCTTCCATGTTAGATAAAAACCTCTTGTATAAAAAAAGTATTTAAGAAAAGCTTGTCAGGCTGGCCATTATGTACAGTACTAATTCCAAATCTAGTCCTTTATCAAAATGGCTTTTTCCAAACTAAGGCCAGCTTTTATCAATAGGTTTGCTAGTAATTATTTGCATTTTTAATGTTTGCATTTGCGAGCTGTCAAGAAAATGTTTGTTTCACCTTTTCATTATCCCAGGAGTTTAATCACCCACCAAAATGGCATGGTATCTTTCCTTGTTCTCTGATTCGGTGATGGACTTTCAATGACAACAGCAATCAATTTATTGACCAAAAAGAAATTGGTGCTAAAGAGTGATCAAACATTCAGGGATCAATTTTGGAACAGCCTGAGTTTGACTGACTATTCAGAGAGGATGTCTCTTATGCAGACAGCTGTAAGGAAGGCCTTAGAAAAGTATAGAACTTATTAGTGATTCCTTTGGAATTTAAAATAAAACCCTAACACATTAATGAGTTGACCACTTAGTTGTGAAAACCTTCTAAAGTTTGGTATGTAAACATTCTTTTTACATTCAACTGGCCATTGTGCCCATTGTTCAGAAAAATCCTCTACTGTATGTTTATGCCCAGTATTTTAATGAATACCATTCTTTCTGTATTAATATTCTATATCTTCTTGTTTATGTTTGATATCTAATTCCCCAAAATAGTAGTTAATTGAGCTAAATAAATTACCTTTTTTGGTGAGATAAGTTCTCTCAGTCTGTGTAGGATTTATTGCTTGCTAGAGAACGATTGGAGGATACATGTTTATCTTGTACTTAGCATTTAGACAATCCCAATAGGTGGGAATTGAATTTTTCATTCTGCAGAAAATTCCACGATTTTAAAATATTTTCCATATGTGACTGACTTCAGATGACAGCAGAATCCAGAAAGGCAACAGACCAGCTGAGTGAAAGGAGGCCAGAAATACTACTTAGGAGAACACCCATCTTCCTGAGCAAACGTTTCCTACACCTTTTCTTATGCAGTGTCCTTCCAGATTTAATAATGTCAGATCATATCATTGGAGAAAGAAAAACATCATCCTTTACCTTGCAATTAATTGTACATCTTTAAGTATCAAAGCAACTCACTCAAAAGACTAGAGAGAAGAAAATTTCACTGAGTATAACGTGCTTTAGCGGGAGAAACGCAGAATAAGTTGGATTTAGCTCTTTCTAACAGCAACCAGAAGGCCGAATTAATCTCTGGCCTAACACCCTCTGGCTTCAGCAGAACAGCAGCAGAGCTGAATGTGGTACACTGCTCTTTTATGACAGGAGCTCCCATGAAGACTCTTAATACCTTATTAAGCAGCAGTTGGAGTCTGCTGAGTCATACTATTCCGGTTACTCCTTCTGTTGTCATTGGTAAAACATGGCCTAGTGCTGAAATTTTAATAAATACAGCTCTATTAGCTTCACACCAATTTAGTATCAGATTGTTAAATGTTAATGTACTGCACCCTATAGCTTTAAATAGAATTAGAGATGTTTACAGCTTTGGTTAAATGCACCTTGTTCCTCCACATTAAATTTTATTACTAGAATCCTCCATCAGCAAATAGGAGTAAATCATATTAGTGTCGCGGGCTGTGTGGGGGTTGATTCTGCAGCCCAAGGAAAAGGTGTTTTATTACTCTTTATTACAACTTTCTAATTGGTAGGTGTGGTCAGAATATAATTATCTCTGTAATTACAAGCAAATTATTTGTTTTAGAATAACTGTAACATAATTGTGGGGTTCTCTTCATTAAGAAGTTCAATAAACTTGTGTCCTTAGCCAGAGTTTGGGCAGGTGTTGCTGGCATAGCAGGACTCAGACCAGATGAGGTCTCATTTGATATTTGATTTGTAGGTCAAATTCTGCTTTTTGATGGCTTCTCAAAAACACCTCTGGTGAGTGACATCAAGGTGCAAAGATCCTTTTTGGCTTCAGTCTAACCTGCCAGGGTAAAACATAAAATACCTAAATTTCACTGCATAGCAATTGCTCTTCTGAGTTTCCTGCACTAATCTGAAATATACTCATTTGGTGTGCTTTGCTTTACCACCTGGTTTGACTCCAACCTTGTTTGGGAGGCAGGGTAGATTGGAAGACTGCATGTCAATAGAAGACTCCAAGTTTGTATTATTCCTCTTAGGAAAAAAAAGAGAAAATGGAGATGGAACAGATTTTGCGATGTCAGCTAGTCTATCGCTTGATCTCAAGGTTGGACCAACTCAGCCTGACTTAACCTGGTAGAGGTTGGTCTAACTTCTTAGAAACTTACAGCGATAAGGTTCCATACTCTCCTCACCATCCATCTCCACAGCCCTAATAATTCAAAATTTTTCCTAGCATACAGGCTATATCTTCTTGCCTTTTCCCCAGCAGACATACAGAACATCCCCCTTTCCTCGTAGCAGCCTTCTCCATATTTGAAGACTATTGAAGGGAAGTTTGAAAAGAGAATTAACAACCTCAATTTTGTTAGGCTTTCCTCTTGTAAAGAACAAGTGATTCCCAATACTGCTTCTCTGGAAAAGATTAACAAATTATTCCAGAGAAAACAGCCATGGAAATTCAGGGAATGGTTAGGTTGGGTTCTGAGCTGGCTTCCCAGATCCCATTCTGAGCACAGCCCACAGAGGAAAAACACTTGCGCAAAACACACCATAGCTTCAACATGTGGATCTCAAACAACCCCTCTCCCTGGCTGCCCCAGCTCTTTCAGCAAACTTCACAGCAGTTTCATATTCCAGCATTTCCACTCAGAGGCTAAATGCTGAAGCAATGTGCTCTACTGACTGCATAGCAATAGGTAAGGCAAGAATCTTACCTGTCTTGGCACCATATTGTGTTAAGTCTCTCTTGTTCCTCACCAGCATTGCTGGGTTGTTTCTGAAGCAATGTGCTCTACTGACTGCATAGCAATAGGTAAGACAAGAATCTTACCTGTCTTGGCACCATATTGCGTTAAGTCTCTCTTGTTCCTCACCAGCATTGCTGGGTTGTTTGCAAACCCCACAAGAGGCTTTTCGGTCTTTGACCACCCCAGTCAGAAATCTTCTGGCAGCCCTTTTCGATCCTCCAGCTGAGACCTGCTCCGGTTTTCATTTTAGTACATAACACAGGTAGCCACTTCAATTGAATTTTTCTCTGCTGTGCAGGACCTGGGACTCTCCCGCATCTCACACCAGGGAAGGATGAGGTCATGAGGGTTATGTGCACAGAGTCCCCTGGCAAGCTCACTTGGGTTCTGGTCCTGGGTAGGGAAAAACTTTAGGAAAGGG